ATGTCAGCAAGCAGAGAAGACTGCAACGCTGCCACCAAAGGTAATGCCGAATTCAGGGCAGACGTGAAACTGTCTGGCATATCTTGTCTCTCCTCGTCAGAAAGCCGATCCTCAGGCAGATCAGACTATCTGTACAAGGATACCGTGAAGAAATCGATATCAGACAAGATATGCAGTGAGAGGCGCAACATCCTCTCGACCTTGTGATGCTCCTTGGCTAGGAACACCACCTGGTCTACTGCTTTACCGGGCCAGGAAGAAAGGTCCCTCGATTCCAGCTTAGCTGGATGGGGAGACAACTTCCCGTCATGAATGGCATAATCGGATGGTCTAACCTCCGATAAATCTGTCACCCAGAGTTGCAATCCTGGAAACCCAGGAGCCTGTGTAGAAGAAGAATTCTTCTCTACAATGCGCGCCTGTGCAGTAGCCAGAGCTGAGGACACAATAGTGCCCTCTGGCAGGGTCCTGTCACTGCGAGGAGCATGTTTAGGAGGTACCACAGAACTCAGTAATGTGGTGGCCTCCGGGATCGATGACACAGAACAAGGTGGGCAATCCTTCATGCCGAGGATACGGGCAACATCCGTGCGCAATGCACGCATGCCCGAAACGAGGTGGGAAGCCTCAGCTACCACCTCATCCTCAGCCTCATCTGATGACTGGGGCTCGCCATCAGAAGGGGCACCATCTGAAGATGGGGCTTCTGATAGGTCATCAACCTCAGAGCACCCAGGTGACAGATCCAAAACGTCACACTCTGCCGTGCCCGATCCCTCATAATCCATTGGCTCTAAGGTATCCTGGGGAAGGGATACCTTCGGTGCCACAGAGGAAGCCATTGGAGCTACCTCCAGCCTGGGCTGAGTGGACTCTGGGTGAGAACGCTTGGCAGAGCGTTCACCCAAATTGGCCTTAGGGCATGCAGCGAACATGGACGCCCCAAGTCCCTTGGACGAAGCAAAGGGGACCGCCCGAGAAGAGGTAGCACTACTAGCCCCGTGTCGCTTAGTGCCGGCTGAGTGAGCCCCCGAACGGGAGGATTGTTCGGAAGGAGGGGGGACCAACAATCCACCATACCTCTGTTGGTTTGGGGAAACCAAATCCCAAGGGTTCCAATGAGGGAACGGAAAGGGACCACATCCAAACCCTTGAGGGTAGGAAGATGGACCTCAAGGTTGGGAGTGACCCCAGCGTTGACCAAACTGTCCTGCCTGAGACTAGGGCTGGAAACCCTGACCAGTGACCAAAGAAAATCTGCCACTCCCGCCGGAAACAGACCCATGCATGTACGGGTTGGAACCGCCACTGCTGGGATACTGTGTCCCCAAACCACTAAAAGAATGGTTTGGTTGTCCCGGGAAACCATGTGAAAACCCATGATTAAATCCGGAACTAGGGGAAGGCATTGGGCGGAAACTGCCTGACTGGTCCGCCAACCCAAAACCCGGTGTAGAACCCGAGTTCCCAGATGCCGATAAACCTGTACCAGTCACAGAGTGACCAGAACCGGGAAACGAAAGACCGGGTGGTCCCGTCGGGAAGCCAGACTCGCTAACAAGAGGCACCACCTGTAAACCCAAAGGATTACAGGGTGGTGTCTCAAAACCTGGGGGCGGGGCCAACCCAGGAACCGGACAAGGACCCTCCCCAGGACCAGAAGTGATTGGGACACACCCCTACCCAAAGGCAAGCTCTGAAAAGGCTTACAGGGGGTCCCAACCAATTCAGCATCAGAACGATCCCATTCTGAGCTGGGCTGCTCCCCCAAGAACAAGACCGAGGCTGGGAGGAAGGGGCCACCCCCTGGACACCAACCAACTCTGCAGAAACAGAGATGGTGGGTCCAGGCACAACGTCACCGTGGGCAACATCCTCAGATAACCCAACAGCAGACTTGCGCTTGTCCCTACCCCGGTCGGAAGATTTACTCTTCCGGCCAGAGTAAGGATGCTTGACGGTAGCCGCCGCACTGACACAGGGAGAACCAAGCTAACAGGAGTCACAGGGTGTCTCCTCTGAGCAGGTGTGGCACTGGGGACACGCTGAATGGGGGTCGGATTCACTATAAAAGTGACCGCACCCATTCACGGTACCATGGCAAAGTCCGTTGCTGGCCATGACGCTCGGCTACGCAAACAAAGGCAACAACAAAAGAAATGGATTCAAAAACTTAATTCAATTGCCGTAAAGCAACAACAGGGTAATAAAAAAACGTGAATAAACTGAAAATAATTAACAGAAAAAGCACATAACAAAAGCCAACCCAAATCGAAAATAAAATACGAAACTTTCACCGACGCGTGTCTGAGCACGGGCAGAGAAAAAACGAAAGCCGAAATAAAAAAGGCAAACGAAACAAACAAATGGGAAATAAGCAAAATTCCAAACACAATGGGGAATACCGCCCTGTAATGTTGAGAATCGGTACACTGTGGAGCACGTCTGATCTGCTCAACGCCATGGATAAAGAAGGACGTGTCTCAGGTCGTGAGCAGGTATTACGGGCAGGTAGAGGGGCTCCCTACAGGGGGTTATTGGGATCTCTCTTTTTTCGTTTATATTATATACAAATAAATGGGAATTAGTGGATTATATGCATACTAAAGTTATGGTTATTATTACTGAAATGAAATACCTGCTATGTCTCCTTCAAAGTTTGAAAGAGGTCAAGTATGAGTGACCTTCCAATTATTAAACTTGATCAATAACCAAAAGATCGAGCTAATGAAGTGTAAACCTTAATATCAACATATGTTTGTGTGATTACATGATAAATCTTTGGGGTTTCACATGTTAAACAGTGTTTTTTTTACCCCTTGACATTGAACAATAATGAACAAAATCTACATCTGGTGTAGAATGTGTCAGGTGTAGAACTAGGTGTTAAGGTATTGGTCTGAATATGAACTATTGAAAACTTCTACACAAGATTTTTATTTCAAAATGAAGTCAATCATGACCTTTACCTCATAAAATTTGAACAAATGTGATTGTGTTAATATCAAATCTGTAAAGGACATCACAAGGTCACACACAAACACAACTTCTACCATAGACTGGCATGGATGCTAATACTCTCCATCTTCAACACGAAACAAATAAAGAATTTTGCACCGTTTCCCGTTTACAGTTTTTTTAACCATCCATTGACAAAAGAAAGGGCTGGAAAAAGCACGCCTTTTTTCAGCATGGTGCCAACTTGAATCTGATAACAGATATCTTAGTGGAGGCAGTAGGCATGTACACTAACAATTCTGTGCCTTCGCAAGACATGTGAGGGCGTATGGAACATTTCATACATATCTTCATATGATAAAAACCACTAGAAGAATTCCCATTCTACAGCAGACATACATTGTGATCAAGATTTTCATACATTTCAATATAAGTTCAGAATTATATCATTCTGAAAATGTGTACCCATCTTAATCAAAGATATCAAAGTTGACAGAATTCATAATCAAAGTTTCATATTTGGGAAAAAATTATACAAATATACTGATTAAGTACCTTTTAACTAATTCTAAAAACAGTTGATGAGGATTGTGAAATGTCTTGTAAGGTCTCTAGTCCTTAAGGAGGAAAGTTATGGTATGTAACTATAATGGCTGTCCTGAAGAAGATATGCCGACAACCTATTGGAAGTGTATATATATATATATGTACTTCTAACAATATTAAACTGAAACTGTAAGCCAATGGTAAACTTAGAACCCCGCCTTTATATCTACCTCTCATACCCGATATACACCACACATTTGATTCCTTTGAAGTTCATAAGTTTAGTAGGAATAGTACAAGAATCGTCAAATCATAGGCCTTCTTTTGGTTACCATGCCAACCAAATCACTCCTGATATTTTGGAAATTGGTACCACTGTATTTACAACCCTATAACACTTTTACTAATAAACTTATAGTGATAATATACAAAGTTTTCAGTTTATTGGACAATGTTACTATGTTTCCATACTAGAAGTTCAGGAAACATCTGATTTATCAAATTATAGGCCTCGACTTGTCACCATTAGACCAAGTATGAATAAAATTGATCTAAGGGCTACAAGCACATCTTCATGCAGTCCTTGATATTTCTGTGTGTTTTTTACAGACAGAATAACCCAACCTCCTACCCTTCTGCCTGTTTTTGTTTTGTTGATAAAAAATGGTGTCCAAGAACACTCATACTTGATATACCATGTATAAAGTTTGAACTCAATCCATGAATGAATGAAGTTGTGGAGTGTTTTAAATTAAATGAGTTGATGATTTTCTATATATATCAAGGGTGACCTTGAGCCCCTGAAACAACGGTTCTTGTATAAAATTTGACCAAAATCCACGAAAGAATGAAGTTGCTAAGTGTTTAAACTGGACTGGTTAATTTTTACTATAAATTAAGTACCAATGACCTTGACTATACTTATAATTGATCTTTGACCAAAATATGTCAAAGAATGAAATTGCTAGGTGTTTTTATTGAATCAGTATGTCACATCACAGGGTGGGACAGGTATGTGTGACACCCCCCCCCCCTAGATAACTATAAATCACCATTACCTCTCCTTGTGATTACTGGAATGCACTATAAATATCATTCCTGTTGGTTATGCAATGCTACAAATTCACTAATACTCTACACAAGATGAAGAAAGCATTCCATATGGTGTTTAATGCTAGTAACAACAATGGTGGGGCTCAATGGTGTATCGCTTCACTTCTACCAAATACAATGATGATCTGTCTGCTCCAAAGTATCATCCCCATTCCAGTTAATTAATTGGAGATAATTAGGCATTTGTGAATACTACCAGAATACCCACACAGACAGTTGACAAAGCATTGCAGCATCGTCTTTTCCCCTTATCCCAGCCTAGATTGGAAAATTGCCCTTATAATAGTACAATGAATGGGTCAAGTCGAGTACAAAGTAATAACTTTGTGCGGTAAATGTTGCGTGGGTATGATTTAAGGCCTCAAGAGTTTCTTGACACTTACACTGACATCGTAGAACTCCTTGTTGGCGGCAGTTTTCAGTGCAGAGATCCAGTCTTCCATTTCACGTCGGCTCTCTGTACACAGCACTAGTGACCTGAAGGGTGTTATCACCTGCAATGACAAAAAATCAGTATTTAGTAATTTATTAGTTGTAGAATGCTGACAGTGTTACCAAGGGAATAAAGGGTTGATTCACACTGAACAAGATCAGAAGAATTGTAAAAGTAATTTTGCGATCTTTGTTACCTAACATGGTTACCAGGGTGTGATAAAAGTTGCTGCAGCTAACAGCAAATAAGATTATAAACACAATGTCACAAATTATTTTAAAAGCATTGAAACAAATCAGTTCTTAATTCAAAGTAAACCTCTGAAAGACTTGGATATTCGCACACCATCTTCTGGATCCTATAGCAACAATTTGTTTTTTAAGACCTACTGACTATGTTTTCATATTATGACAATGAGGTAGTATCATTAAACAGCTGTATATATAGATTTATATATAAAATGCCACTCTACCCTATCTCTGCTACAGTAAATAGGTCTCTAACGGAACCTGACTACCTACCCAAACAGGTCTCTAGGGCCCAACTTCATACCCAAACAGGTCTATAAGGCCTGACTACATACCCAAACAGGTCTCTAGGGCCTGACTACATACCCAAACAGGTCTTTCGGGCCTGACTACACACCCAAACAGGTCTCTAGGGCCTGACTACATACCCAAACAGGTCTCTAGGGCCTGACTACACACCCAAACAGGTCTCTAGGGCCCAACTTCATACCCAAACAGGTCTATAAGGCCTGACTACACACCCAAACAGGTCTCTAGGGCCGGACTACACACCCAAACAGGTCTCTAGGGCCTGACTATATACCCAAACAAGTTTTTCGGGCCTGACTACACACCCAAACAAGTCTCTAGGGCCTAACTACATAACCAAACAGGTTTTTCGGGCCTGACTACACACCCAAACAGGTCTATAGCGCCTGACTTCCCACCCAAACAGGTCTCTAGGGGCTGACTACACACCCAAACAGGTCTCTAGGGCCTGACTACACACCCAAACAAGTCTCTAGGGCCTGACTACATACCCAAACAGGTTTTTCGGGCCTGACTACACACCCAAACAAGTCTCTAGGGCCTAACTACATAACCAAACAGGTTTTTCGGGCCTGACTACACACCCAAACAGGTCTATAGCGCCTGACTTCCCACCCAAACAGGTCTCTAGGGGCTGACTACACACCCAAACAGGTCTCTAGGGCCTGACTACACACCCAAACAGGTCTCTAGGGCGTAACTACACACCCAAACAGGTCTATAGCGCCCGACTATATACCCAAACAGGACTCTAGGGCCTGACTACACACTGGAACAGGTCTCTAGGGCCTGACTACACACCTGAACAGGTCTCTAGGGCCTGACTACACACCCAAACAGGTCTCTAGGGGCTGACTACACACCGGAACAGGTCTCTAGGGCCTGACTACACACCCAAACAGGTCTCTAGGGCCTGACTACACACTGGAACAGGTCTCTAGGGCCTGACTACACACCCAAACAGGTCTCTAGGGCCTGACTACACACCCAAACAGGTCTCTAGGGGCTGACTACACACCCAAACAGGTCTCTAGGGCCTGACTACACCCCCAAACAGGTTTTTCGGGCCTGACTACACACAAATAGGTCTCTAGGGCTTGACTACACACCCAAACAGGTCTCTAGGGCCTGACTACACACCCAAACAGGTCTCTAGGGCCTGACTACACACCCAAACAGGTTTTTCGGGCCTGACTACACACCCAAATAGGTCTCTAGGGCCTGACTACACACCCAAACAAGTCTATAGGGCCTGATTACATACCCGAACAGGTCTATAGGGCCTGACTTCATACCCAAACAGGTCTATAGGGCCTGACTACACACCCAAACAAGTCTCTAGGGCCTAACTTCATACAAAAAAAGTAATCATTGTAGTTACTATGGGAAAACAGCATTATTGCAGGACAAAACATGATACTTGACGAGTGAGAATTTTCCTTCAGTTGACCTGAACAGTAAGTGATTCCTAGTTTGAGTCACAGAAAAGGAAAAGTAATTTTCAATACCCCTCACTATAATAGATATGGTGAGACTTACTCCTTTCTATCTTCAATTAAGTATAACAAGATGACCCTATATATAGTTGGGAAATCTTCATATGTAATTTATCTTTCTGTCTGAGTATAATTTTCTATAACAAAATGAATGATTTGAATATCCAGTCATTAGTGCCAAATTGGCAATCAGTTCATAAAGCTTCTAATAATGACAGTGAATTGGACATATAGATCTGTTAGAAAAGAAAAAGCACAACTTTTTTCACAGAAAATGTTTCAGGAAGAAGTGTATAAATAGCAACAGTTTTGAGACATGAACTGTAGGTGTGGGTGTTTTTTTTAGCTTGGGAACTTCCATTTTACATAGACAAGATTGTTTAACCAACTGTTGGGAATCACCACACTAAGTTATATTACAGAACAGATACATACAACACAGTGAGGAAACACACCTAAACAAAACAGTCTTTGAATCTGATGTAACTCCTTCAATGTCAACATCTCTTATGCTTACGTCAAAACCCTGCCAATTACATATTTCAAGGCTGGGAACTCCGGACACAACGAAAAATGATTGAACATTACTTTTTTCTTTTTATTTCAAAATTTGGTAATTTTATGAGACACAATTTTAAACTTTGAATTAGGAGGAGATTTTGGACAGTGAGACTTAAACACTGTTTTTGGAAATTGTAAATTAACATGATATTAGAATAACAAAATCATCATTGTATGTCTATGCCTGGGACTTTATCAGAGCCAGTAATTGACATGAAAATCTTTACTAATTAATAGGTTCCTTTGGATTCTTGTCATGCTATAACATTTGATATGGAGAAATAGTTTCTGAGATCCCCTGTTGTTCTTTACAAATTTCAAAATTAAGAATCAATTTATCGGGTGTCTACACTTGTGGGATATATAGACAAGAATTTTCAGGGTGCCAGAAAGTAAAATCTGGAAAACACTTAGTAAATGATGGATGTGTTGAGATGTCCACTACCTAAGCTATCTACATACCAAGATTAGTTAAATTTGGACACACACTTTCTCAGTAACATATCTAAATGCAGTGATATGTGTACAACAATGACAGAAAAGTAAAACATGACAGTATCACTTCTACAACTTGTCATTACAGGCGATACAAAATTTGATAAATGTAATATCTAACAGGAGAATTTGAACTTCTGGACAGCAAAATTGCTGCTTCACAAACCTATGGTGTTTACATGTTGTTATTGATTCAATATCCAACAGCTTGTCCTCAATATCAGGATTTCAGTAGAAGATTTCCACTACTGACAGATCAACCCACAATTGTAGGTTTCACGAAATGCAGGTTGGAAAGGTTGTATATTTATCATGAACTCATTAGGAAACATATCCCTGTGCCATATGAAGTTGGATGCTTGTTGGTATCCCTGGGTACTGTTGTTGTTACCAGGTTCCCATCAGGGACCATGACCTTATATATTTGAATTAAGATTTACATGGTGGGTGTCAATGAAGCAGAACATCCTCACTGTTCCAGAACACCTAGCATTACTCTCCTTGTCCTTTTCCAAGGGTTTCCATGTAAATCTTACTGTTGTTCATATTTCCCTGTGATTTGAATTTGAATTAAGATTCAGTTGTCATTCTGGTATTTTTTCTTTATGTTTTTTTGTCCATTCCTTTGATTTGATAAGTTTCATAGTTAACCATTGAACAGACATCATATTGCATTTATAGCCAATATGAATGCAATCAGAGTGACAGATGAAGTCATACATTATCAATAGGTTTATGTTCATTTCAATTTACATTTTACCAAATCATAAAGTTGTCTCCCCTGTACGGAATGGTTTACATAAAGCTGTAATATGTTTCATATCTGCTGCAATATGCAAAGCATTGATGTAACATAGGTCATCATTTCATTGAAATGATGTATTCACACACTTTGAATACAATCCAGGTTAACCCAGCAGATCATATATAAAATGTAAATACGTATTAAGGAGCTTTCACAACATATCATCATCAAATTCAATATTTTGTGCTGAAGGGGAGGGGAGGGGATGTTCAATAGATTCACAAATATTTTTTTTACTTCAAATATCTTGGTCGTGATGGATAAATTTGGGAAAATAAAAAAGCAATCCACTGCACGTAAATAATAAATCCTCAATATACCAATTTATCAATGGCAGGATAGTAAATGATGCTTACACACATAGGAGCCTGGTGACCTTTAGGAAAGTAATTTCCTGGAATCACAATCAATGGTTTCCAACAATCTGGTGCGGTTAGGTAGCCAGGGGTTATAAAAACACACTCAAACAATGTCTATATCATGACTTATTCATGATTTTGAATCTGTAATAATTTCCATCTATCTTCGACAGTATTAGGGTATCCAAGATTATTGACCTGCGGAGTATCATCCAATACTGTGATAGGATCCAACTAAATATAGTTATACCAATGGATGTGCTTCTGTAACTACCTGTCACCTGGGGTGTTACACACAGGAATTGTATCAGCAATGAAAAACACATCATTCTGCCTCAAATCTTGACTACAACTCAATAATTACAACACTGTCACATCATAAACAAGAGTTTTATGCTGTTATTAATTCTCTTCACACATGGTTACTAAGTATACAGGGTCTGACTAGTAAAGGTAAAAATATTGCTTTCCAGTATTTTACTGTTGAAAATACATCATCTTTTATTCCATACCTTAATTTCATCATGTCCTACCAGGTGCAGGCCTCATAGACACTAATATAGTTGACACATACTGCACCAGACATCATAATTATGTTGTGGGTTCATATGCATTTATTGTTAAGTCAAGTGAAAGGAATTTAGAGAAGCCTTAATGACATCAAATCAACGACATCAAATTTCACGAAGTGCAATCTCTACATGACATTTATGTGATACCAAATTTACATGGTTAGAAAAAGCATTGTCTAAACCATTCAAAACGTACAATCCATCTTAACAGTTTTC